CAGATTTTCTTTAGTGTTCAGAATAAAACAAGTACATCCAAAAGGATGGAAATAAGAAATGTTGGGTTTTCTGTTTTTCCACAATTCATAGGGAGTCTTTTCAAGAATATGTCTTATAAAGATTCTATTCTGAATATAACATGTTGTGTTCACAGCTTCTGCCCAAAAGTGCTTTGCCATATTAGTTTCATTGATCATGGTTCTGGCCATTTCTTGTAATGTTCTATTCTTACGTTCTACAACTCCATTTTGTTGGGGAGTTATAGGACAAGAGAAGTTATAAACAAGACCATTTTCTTTAAAATATTTTTCAAAATAATGGTTTTCAAATTCACCACCATGATCACTTCTGACTTTTATAATTCTAAAATCTTTTTCATTTTGCACTTGGTTACAGAAGTCAACAAACACAGAATGTGACTCATCCTTGTGTTTTAAAAACTTGACCCATGTCCATCTGCTGAAGTCATCAACAATGACCAATCCATACTTCTTGCCTCTGATGGATGCAGTTTTAACTGGCCCAAACCGATCAATATGAAGTAGTTCTAATGGCCTAGAGGAAGAAACAACATTTTTGGATTTAAAGGAAGGTTTTGAAACTTTTCCTTTTTGACATGCTTAGCACAGAGCTTCTGAGTTGTACTTCAGATTGGGAAGTCCTCTGACTAAATTTAATTTATTTAGTTGAGAGATTTTTCTTAAACTGACATGTCCCAATCTTCTGTGCCATACCCATTGCTCATCGCTAACAGACAAAAGGCATTTAACATTCTGAGATTTAAGATCTAACAAATAAATTTTGTATATGTTGTTCTTTCTCTTACCAGAAAAGAGGATTGTTCCATCTTTTTGACTAACAACTTTACAAGAATTTTGATTGAAGATAATGTCATAATCGTTGTCACTTAATTGACTTATGGACAGCAGGTTATGCGATAATCCTTCTACTAATAAAACATTATAGATAGAAGAAGGTTACCGTTTCTAATGGTTCCAGAACCAATAATCTTCCCTTTCTGATTACCTCCAAACTTGACGTCTCCTCCAGCTTTAAATTCCAGGTTTTGGAACATAGAATTTTTCCCCGTCATGTGTCGTGAGCACCCAGAGTCCAGGTACCATGACTGGTGTCTCAATTAAGCTGTTAAGGACATCTGCAACAAATATTATTTTATCCTTAGGTACCCATATCTTTTTGGGTCCTCTTGGGTTAGAGTATTTCAAGTTCTGTTTGAACTTTGGGTTAGCATAAGAGTTTCCAGAATGTGATGTATATTAATATCATGTGTGTGTCCAAACTTGAATTGTTTGTTCAGAGGTTTGTAAGTGAAAGTCATCTTAGCAACAAGTTTTGGTATATATGTCTCCTTCCCTTTGGGAGGTTCATATCCAATTCCTCTTATGTTGTTCCCACTAACTCCATAGATCATTGAAGCCATTTTTCTTCTATCTATGCTTTTAGCAAGAAACGTTTGAAAACTACAGTCACATTCTTTCAGAATATCTTTTGAACTTGACACAGAACCTGAATTAGAAATTTTTTGAACATTTTGAATTTCTTCTTTAAGTTTAAAATTATTTTCTATGAGTTCAGATTTTTCTGTTTCATGTTTCTCAAGACCAGATGCAAGACTCTTCATGAGTTTCTTGTATTTAATTTTGAGTTGACTATAGTTTTCCAGAAGTTCTGATAAACTATCAGCAAGTTCATCTCTAGTAAATTCAGAAAATACCTCTCTTGGTTCTGACTCACAGTCTGAGTCATCTGATGTGGTATCCATCAGAGCTAGGTTGGCGTTCTCATCTTCAAAATCAGATTCATCTTCAGAGGATTCTGAATTGTCCCAGGTTGCCATCATCCCTTTATTTTTACCAAACCTTTTCTTTGGTTTTTCTCTTTGAGTTTTGGACAATCACTCTTGTAGTGTCCATGTTCTTTGCATTCATAACAAATTATCTCTCTTCTGTTTGACTTTTTGTGTCCAGAAGATTCTGGTTTATCTTCTGACTTCTTGAAGTTCCTGAACTTCTCCTGTCTGTGCTTCCACATATGATTGATCCTTCTGGAGAGCAAGGATAGTTCGTCTTCTTCTGACGCAGATTCTTCAGAGTTTTCCTCTTCATCCTGAAAAGCGTTAGTTTTATATTTCTTAATTGATTTAAGGGCAAGAGACTTACCTTTCTTCTGAGGCTCGTGCTCATCAAGTTCTATCTCATGACTTCTGAGAGCGCTGATGAGTTCTTCAAGAGACACGTTGTTCAGATATTTTGAAACTTTGAAAGCAGTGACCATTGGTGCCCATCTTCTGGGTAAGCTTCTGATGATCTTTTTGACGTGGTCTACTTTAGTGTATCCCTTGTTCAAAACTCTCAGACCAGCGATCAGAGTTTGAAACCTTGAGAACATTGCTTCTATAGATTCACTTTCTTCTACTTTGAAGGCTTCATACTTCTGGACGAGAGCCAGAGCTTTAGATTCCTTCACTTGAGTGTTTCCTTCATGAGTCATTTTAAGAGACTCAAACAGATCATGTGTTGTATCTCTATTTGTGATTTTTTCATATTCCATTTTAGAGATAGCATTTAGAAAAATATTTCTAGCTCTATGATGATTTTTAAAATCAGCTTTTTGTTGTCTATCCATATTTTTTCTATCAATCTTGTTTCCTTCTGAGTCTGTATGATGTGTGTAACCATCCAAGACTATATCCCATAAATCACTATCATGACCTAGAAAGAAACTTTCTAGTATATCTTTCCAATACTCAAAATCTTCTCTATCAAATACAGGAGGTTTATTGTAGCTATTGTTGTTTTGTTCAGTAGTCATTTGTGTTTTCTTCTGGATCTTTTCCTGACACGGTTAAGTGTTGTGCTCAGAGTCAATCTCCGATACCAATTGAAGGGTGAGAAAACACTTAGAAGGGGGGGGTTGAATAATTTTATCTTTTTCTTTTTTTTAAAGGCTCAACAATAATGGAAAGACAAGGTTATTTTTATCCTGGTTCGTTTGAACTCAAACTACTCTAGTCCATCCGCCAAGGTGATTTCGCCTTTCTCAACAAGGACTTAATTCACTATAATCAACTGATTACAATCACACAACAACTGTTGTGACTAACAATGCACAAGTAATCTTACAAGTGACTAACACCACTAAGACTTAAACTAGTCCTAGTCTACTTGAGAAATCTTACCAAACTTGGTCTCTCAAGGAACAATTACAAGAGTTAAATCTTTACAGATAGTGAAACAAAATTTGCTTCTAATAAAGTTTTATCACAACTGTTATTTTTCACTAAGAATAGTATTGCACAAAGTGTATGAAAAATGATTTGTGAGCCCAGAATATTTTCACGTAGTTATTGCTTCTTTTGAAATTGATGAGTAGTTGGCTTACAATAAATGTTCTTCTATATATAGTAAGAACAAAATGACCGTTGATGCCTTCAAAAGTGGAGAGCATTAAATGTTTACGTGTTTCCTTGCACTATTCCATTTTCCAATGAACTAGCGTAGACACTTGAGTGCATGTAGCCGTCTTTGCATTAAATGAGAAAACGACACTTGTAAGAGCATGTTTCCTGAAGCTTGACAAGACTTGTTAGCTTTTACATTCTTTCAGAACTAGCTTCACGTCTTGAATCAGAACATGCTTGCATATCTTGCTTGCAGAATCCTTCTGAACATAGCTTGCTTACAAAGTACTTCTGATCAGCGCTTGCCTTCAAATTACTTATGAACAACACTTGCTTTCAAGGTACTTATGAACAAGGAATCCTGCTAAGCGTTAGAAGATGCATTTAAATAATTATCTTACCAGAGTCAGCATCAGCACTTGCGCTAAAACAAATAGTTCTTTCATCAAAGAACTTCTTCATTTATTTTCGGCTCAGCATATCAAAATACTTCTGTCAGAACATTATCTGAAACAATTAAATATGTTCATCAGAGTATCAATTATATAAAATATAATTTATTGTTATCATCAAAACTCTGAGATATGATCAGAACTAATCTTGTTCTAACACACTTGTCTTCAAGAGTAGTTGTCATTCCATGTTCATAATTTAAAAGCATTAAACTTTGACTTTTCATCTCTCTTCCTTACTTCAATGCTTTTTCCCTCATATTTCAAGGTGGTCGCCGAAATAATTATGACTTCTTCTGACTTGAACACCGACAACACCGTAATCTAGGCCGACGTCATGGTTGGCAATTTTTCAAATTGGGAAATCATTTCAGTAGATTCGAATGAGAGAGTATGAAAATCTTTTGAGGATTGTTGGATTCCCTTTACGAGTGTCTCTTTACAAGGTTGGGGATATGCATGGCTTTCTCTAATTTTGAGGTGACCATGATGAACCATCTAAAAGTTGCCCCCTCGCAACTTCATCCTGAAGCTCGGGCTTTCATGACGGTGTTCTCACTTTATGTTGAGTACAAGTCTTGGAAACCTTCATTAGAGATATTCTTTGACCTCTTTTCTGTAGCTCGTACTTCGGTGGATAATGCTAGGGATCAAGGATTGATATCCCTTCTTTGTCATCAAGTACATTGGTTCAACTATTTTTCCTCTGATTGGGGTGATTTCCTGGAGCATTTTATACTCATGAAACTCGTCACTTCTGAGGAGCATCTTGCCTTATATTCGTTTGTGGCCCCGATGGGAAGTGCCGCTCTTTCCGAGATGGATTTTGGAAGTACTAGTCGATAGTTCATTTCCATCGATCTATTTCTTCTTATCATTATAGGCTACCCTGTTTGTATCCCAGAGGAATAAATAGGAAAGAGGATTTATGCGCCTTATATCATGTTTTTGGATATGAAGAAGGACTTGGTCTCAGTGAAGTACTTTCCTTTCAATAAAATAAAAGGCAAATAAATAGTCATGCGATAATTAGTGCGCCTGATCATTCTGATAAACAAAAACTCTTTCATGAGGATGAGGATCCAGACACCTTTTTTAACAATGCAACTCGTGCCTTGCAGATAACATGAATCAATTGAGTCAATTGCTGAAAGCTTTGTCCCTTGCAAATGATCAGGGCCTTACAACTAGATTGTTCATTCAGGTTCTGGTGGCACCTGTCGTTGCATCTATCTCTGCTCCAGGGGCTCGAATTCATGTTGTGATGGTTGCCTCAGAAGTAGTCAAAACTATTATTCTGGTCCTGACTCCTGAGGTGGGCCAGTCGGCTACTATTGGAGTTGATTTTTCAATTCGGGAGCTTTTACCATATCCTTCCCCAGCCAAGAGGGGTCGGGGTGATAGTCTGTCTACTCCCTTTAAGGGGGGTTAGTGTTTAAGAATTTGGCTTCTGGACGATGTTCAGCGGCGGTTGGCCAACGAAGATGGCGGAAACCACCGTAGGTTGTCAGCACGCTCAACTCCGGTCGGTTTAATTTGAGAGAGTCTAAGAGAGAGGTCTCAATTTTAGAGAGAGAGAGAGATAGGTTTTGTTAAAATGAGCTTGCAACGTATAACATAGTATCACAACTCCCCTTCTTGAAGTAAACCCTGAACATGCCTTAGTTTGAAGGTTGCAAACTCTGAAGACTATCAAAACCTAATGAGGTAAAAGTGTGGAAACCAAGGAAATTATGATAGGTCATTATCAGATTCAAAATTTGTTTTGTCCTCTTTCTGGATGCAGGTTTACTTTACAAAAGTTGCAGTATTATTGAAGCCTTGCAACATACAATTCCTTATGTAGCTAAGGAAGTTCAAATGGATTGGAACTAAACTGCAACCACATTATCATTTGAGGAAGCTTTGCAATGGCTGAAGCTTCAACAAGACTCTTATGTGCAAGCCTTCAACGATTCTTTTGTGTCTCTCTATTTAAAGGAGCTGAAGATTTAAGATAGAGGTGAACCCATCAACTTCTGAACAAATTATTTTGACAAAACCACTAACAAATTTGTGTGTATTTACGGGTTCTGGAATGTTACACGAATTTGTTTATATAGTATATTTAATTTAAGTACAAGGTTAAAAAAATTGACATCTTATGAAGTGGTGATGTTTCTTGGACATTAGGAGCTGCATTTGTTGAAGGGGAGTTTCAATGGTTAAATATTGCAAGCCACAAATCCCAAACTACACTTTCATCTTTAAAGAATGTGAAGGTCACGTCTTTTTCAACTTGTCTTTTTGATGTCCTTCTGTTGCTTGTATTGATTGTTTATTATACTCAAATTAAGCTACATATACCTAGCATAATGGCTTTTGCATCTGGATCATCTTTGTCATCTTATACTCATATAGAGGCTCTAATATTTTCAATAGCCAGGAACATAATCCCAAAATTTCACCATAAAAATCAAATTTTTAGGCCTTTCTCTTTCCTCAAACCAGAACCCAGAAAACCAAACAAAGAGTTAACCAGTGCTCCCAGAGTCCTTAAACTAGTATCACTGAGACTTGAAGAAAAATTTACTTGAGTTTGTTGCTTTCGCTGGAGAACTCATCCAGACAGGTAACTCGTTTCTCCTCCATTTTCGCATTTTCTCGTTACCATCTGGTGTAGTTTATTGCACTCAGCAATAACCCTAAGTTAGTATGTCTCAATCGTGTGACGTTGCCATTTAATTTCTGGTTTGCGAATTTGATTTATGCTTTGTCATTCTGGTTGTTTGGTTGGTATTTTGGTGTTTTTGTTGTTGGATTTGAATTTAGGGAAAGAAATTAAGGGGGGTTAGTGTTTGAGAATTTGGGTTCTGGACAATGTTCAGCGACGATTGGTCGGCGAAGATGGCGGAAACCATTGTAGGTTATCGGCAAGCTTAACTTCGAGTGGTTTGATTTGAGAGAGGTCTGAGTTTTAGAGAGAGAGAGGGAGAGAGTGATTTTTTTAAAATGAGCTTGCAACATAAAACATAGGATCACACCTCCCTTTCTTGAAGCAAACTCTAAACATGCCTTAGTCTGAAGGATGCAAACTCCGAAGACTATTAGAACCTAATAAGGTAAAAGCATGGAAACCAAGGAAATTATGATAGGTCACTATCAGAGTCAGGAATTTTTTTGTCCTCTTTCTGGATGGAGGTTTACTTTACAGAAGTTGCAATAGTGCTCAAGCTTTCCAACAGACAATTCCTTATGCAACTAAGGAAGTTCAAATGGATTGGAACTAAACTGCAACCCCATTATCATTTGAGGAAGCTCTGCAACGACTACATTGAAGCTTAAATAAGACTCTTATGTGCAAGCCTTCAACGATTCTTTTGTGTCTCTCTATTTAAAGGAGTTGAAGATTTAAGATGAAGGTGAACCCATCAACTTCTTAACAAATTATTTTGACAAAACCACTAACAAATATGTGTGTGTTTACGGGTTCTGGAATGTTGCGCGAATTTATTTATATAGTATATTTAATTTAAGTACAAGGTTAAAAAATTTGACATCTTATGAAGAGGTGATGTTTCCTGGATATTAGGAGTTGCACTGGTTGAAGGGGAGTTTCAATGCTTAAATATAGCAAGCCACAAATCTCAAACTATACTTTCATCTTTAAACAATGTGAAGGTCACATCTTCTTCAACTTATCTTTTTGTTGTCCTTCTATTGCTTTTATTGATTGTTTATTGTACTCAAATTAAGCTATCTATGCCTAGCAGAAGGGCTTCTACATCTGGCTCATTTTTGTCATCTCATACTCATATAGAGGCTATAATATTTTCAATAGCCAAGAACATAATCCCAAAATTTCCCCATAAAAATCAAATTTTTAGGCCTTTCTCTTTCCTTAAACCAGAACCCAGAAAACCAAACAAAGAGTTAACTAACGCTCTTAGAGTCCTTAATCTAGTATCACCGAGATTTAAAGAAAATTTTAGCTGAGTTCGTTGCTTTCGCCGAAAAACTCCTCTAGTTGGGTAACTAGTTTGTCCTCCGTTTGCACATTTTCTCGTTACCATCTTGGGTAGTTTATTGCGCTTAGAAATACCCCTAAGGTGGTATGTCTCAATCGTGCACTGTTGTCGTTTAATTTCCGGTTCACGAATTTGATTTTTTCTTTGTCGATCCAGTTGTTTGGTGGGGATTTTGGTGTTTTTGTTGTTGGATTTAAATTCAAGGGAAGAAATTAAGGGGGGTTAGTGTTTGAGAATTTGGGTTCTGGATGATATTAAACAGCGGTTGGCTGACAAAGACGGCAAAAACTACCTTAGGTTGTCGGCACACTCAACTCTAGCCGGTTTTATTTGAGAGAGTATAAGAGAAAGGTCTGAGTTTTAGAGAGAGAAAGAGTGAGTGATTTTGTTAAAACGTATAACATATGACCACACCTCCCCTTCTTGAAGTAAACTCTTAACATGCCTTAGTCTGAAGGTTGCAAACTCCGAAGACTATCAGAACCTAATGTGTTCAAAGCATGTAAACCAAGGAAATTATGATAGGTCACTATCAAAGTCATAATTTGTTTTGTCCTCTTTCTGGTTGCAGGTTTACTTTACAGAAGTTGAAGTATTGCTGAAGCCTTGCAATATACAATTCCTTATGCATCTAATGAAGTTCAAATGGATTGGAACTAAACTGCAACCGCATTATCATTTGAGGAAGCTTTGCAATGGCTGCATTGAAGCTTTAACAAGACTCTTATGTAAAAGCCTTCAACGATTATTTTGTGTGTCTCTATTTACAGTGTAACACCCCGATTTTTATTTGCTATTATTTAATTACTTTATTAATTATCATATTATATAATAATTGATTTAATTGTGCGATTTGGTGAATATTTGAATTATTTGAATTTAAGTGTTATTTGAATAATTAGAGTTTTAAGTAAGAATAGTAAATAATTAGAATTGAGCTTTATGTCATAATAGAATGGATAAGTGGAGTTAGGCCCATTAATAAAATAGAATAGTAAGAAGAAGGATTAGAATTAGTGTTGTGATAAAACAAAAACAAAGAAGAGAAGAGAGTAGAAGAGTAGAAAGAGGAGAAAAGAGGAAAAGTGAAGAGACAACCCTAAAGACTCTACACTCAAGGTAAGAGTGAGAATCTATGTAATTATGGGAGTATATGATGGGTAGTAACATGTAATAGGATTGGGTATGTGAATTTCTAGGTTTTGAATCATCCAAATTGATTTAGGGATTTGGAAATTAGGTTTTTGAAATCTATTTTTTATTATATAAATAGGTTCCCTATGTGTTTACCGTGGAAATTGGTAAACAACCGCTGATCTTCCAAAAGGTTACTTATTTGGTGACTCGCAGGATCGATCAGATTGATCCTAAGACATGGTTTATTTTCTAGAGTTTGACTAATCCTAATGGTGATTAATGCCGGTAAAGTAAAGACACTTTAAGTAAATTGCATGAAGAAAAGCTTGATAGAATAAATAAAAGCGTTAAATAAAAGGCTTCGACGGAGATGAGTAAATGAAAAGCAATAAAGTGCTTGAATATAAAAGATTTTGATTAATTTAAATGGTGTTTCACACATACATTCTCAATGATTCTTTCGCTCACACTGGGTACTTGAATCTAGATGAGTGACTTGTATAAAATGACGAACACCCTCGAAAACTACGTGAACAACTAGTATTTATACTAAAACAAATCCTAAGTAACCGTTGGGAAGTTACGTCGCTTAGAGATGACTCCACATGGCATGCTCACAGCATTCGACGCTCCTGATCTCGGCACGTTGCACTTGGTAACTGCTGGGAACCGTTTTCCCTCCAAGCATTCAAATCTCAAACCGTTCGACCCTGGGCATCAGGTACCTTTGTCGAGAGGTTCCTTCGACGTCGAAGACGACAAGATTCCCACTTAAAGGAAATTCTCTAAGTACCTTGTCATTCTCTGATGAGCCTTCGACAGGATCAGCTGGTCGAAGCCTTCTTATGTAGGAAATTCTTCTGACTCATAATTAATGGTCTATATTGATAACAAACAAGGGTGTCGAATTTAGGAGCCAACAAATTCCCCCCCAAGAATGTCTTATTTCGACGCTGAAAAGAAAAAGGCATTCTTTGAGATTCCACTCGACACCTGTCCTTCACTCTTAGCCACATATTAGTTTGTGCGCTTTTCGCCTCCTACCAACCAACTGACAATCTCAAAAAGCCATTATTCCACCTGTTCCTAAGACATCACTTCAGTAAGGAGTTTGGCACACCCAATGTCCTTTCACAGATTGTCATCATGACGATTCCCCGAAATCGAGGACGTAGAGAGCCAAGATGAAGTTACCCGAGGCTTAGAGTTCGCTGAAAGGGCCCAAGCCCTTGACGACCAGATTGCCAAACTTTCTCAGGCGACTGCCTTGTGTAACAAACGGCTGGAGTTGCAGCAAGCCAAATATCTTCGACTTAAAGCTTCCATCCCTTTCTAATTTGCTCAGCACCTCATTGACCATGTACTGTAATATTTGTAATACAATGCAACCATTTTGGTTAATCAATATATAATTTTCCATTTTGGCTCTTTATGGTTAACTTGGTCGTTAACTGTTATTTATTTTGATCTCTTGGAGCATAGGTTTATATTTTTTCAAATATTTGCCATTTACTCTCAAGAGTCTTTTATCTTCGCCTAACTCTTCAACCTCATAAGCTCCACCAGAAAAAATTTGGATAATTCTGAACGGTCCTTCCCACTTGGGTGACCATTTTCCCATGCTTCGATCTCTTCGATCCATGGGGAGAATCACCTTCCAAACTAATTCTCCAGGCGAGAATGCCTTAGGTTTTACTTTTTTATTGTAAGAGTCTTCCACTCTTTTCTTCTGAATTCTCAGTAGGTCGAGAGTGTGTAGTCTTTCCTCGTCTAAATCTACTAGTTCGTCTAACATCATATCCCAATAAACCTCAGAGGGAATATCGTGATGTCTCTGAACCCTTGCTGATTGAAGACAAATTTCTGCTGGCAGTACTGCGTCATGACCGAAAGTTAGCCGATATGGTGTTGTACCTGTGGCTTCTTTTGGGGACGTTCGACAGGCCCACAATATCTGGTCTAACGTCTTATGCCAATTTTTTGTCTTCTTCCCTACATGCTTTTTTATCAGGCCGATCACTATTTTATTCGCTGCTTCGACTTGACCATTTGCCTGTGCATAATAAGGTGTTGATGTTAGGAGTCTAAAGCCTGTTTCTTGAGCGAATTCCTGCATCTTTCGACCAGTAAACACTGATCCTTGATCAGTTGTTATAGTCTCAGGGATTCCAAATCTGTAGATAATGTTCTTTTGAATAAATTCAATGACATTTTCTTGGTCTGCATTGACTAAAGGGATAGCTTCGATCCATTTAGTGAAATAATCAATGCCTACCAGTATATACTTCTGGCTCTTTGATGATGCTGGTCGAATCTCTCCAATAAGATCCAACGCCCATCCTCTAAAAGGCTAAGGTTTCACTATTGAGTGAAGTTCGCTTGCTGGTATATGTTGGATGCCCGTATGGGCTTGACATTCCTGGCAACCCTTC